GAAGTGACAATTTGTTATCTACAAGCCAAGATGAACAAGACTCTAGTGTTTGTCCAAGTTTTTGAGAAATAATATTTGGATTTTTGTGAGCAAAAAGAATTGCACTGTCATCGGCATACAGAATAAGCTTACATGCTTGATCTATACTAATTCTCATGTCATTTACATAGCACAAAAATAAAAGAGGACCCAGGATGCTGCCTGGGGAACCCCACATGTAACAGGCATGTAATCTGATAAAATATCATCAACACTAACAGTTTGTTTTCTACCTTTAAGATAAGACATAAACCAGTCCGTATTAGAGATACCCATCAATTTCAATTTTCCACATAAAATATCATGGTCAACAGTATCAAATGCTTTTTGTAGATCTAACATTATCATGCCTGTGTATAATCCTTTGGAATTATTGTTTCTGATATGATCCATAAGATGGATAAGACAAGTGTCAGTGGAATAGGAATTTCTAAAACCTGACTGTAATTCATACAATAAACCATTATCAACTAAAAACTTTTCAAGTTGAGAATACACTGATTTTTCTAAAATTTTTGAAACAATGCTTAAAATGCTTACAGGTCTATAATTTCCTACTTCAAGATTACTGTTCTTTTTATATAAAGGTTTTACCCTAGCTTCTTTCATGTCATCAGGGACATAATTTTCTGAAATTGACATATTTATGATAAAAGTAATTGGTATTTTCAAAAATGAAGCTGCATCTTTTAAAAATCTAGCAGGAATTTCATCTAAACCAGTACTCTTTGATGAGTTTAAATTCTTAAGCTCTTTATATACAAATGTCTCAGACACATGTTTTAAGTACATTTTATTATTCTTAGTATTTCTTTCATTATAAAAATCTAACAAAGCTTGTGAGTCAATGTCAAACTTTTTGCTAGCACAAGGTAACTTATCCACTAGCTTAGAAGCAACAGTAGTAAAAAAGTCATTAAAATGATTAGCAATTTTTAAAGGATTATGACAATTTTCACTTTCAATTTTTAAAACAATATTTTCATTCCCTGTTGTTTTGGATTTATACCCCAATTGTTTTAAATGTTTCCATAGGCCTTTTGGATTATTTCTATTTTCAGCAATTTGATCAGTAAAATAAGAAGACTTAGCATGTTTTACTTCTCTTTGAACAACATTTCTAAATTTACAATAACAAGAAAAATCTTCATGGCAACCATATTTTCTAAACTTGTATAAATAATGATCTCTTGTTTTGATATGGTCTAAAATCTCTGATGACATCCAAGGTTCAGTTCTCTGTTTTAATCTAATTTCTTTAACAGGAGCAATGGCATTCAACACTGTCATAAACATATCTTTAAAAGCTACCCATGAACTGTTTACATTATCAGAATAAAAACATTTACTCCAGTCTGCTTGACCTAGTTTTTCAATAAACAAATCTCTACTATAATTTTTTACACATCTAACTTTAGAGAAATAATGTTTTGAGAAACTTTGTTTGCTGATTTTCCTTGTACAAAAAGTCAAAAAGTGATCACTAAGGCCAATAGAAATAACACCATATTGACTTAGCCTATCTTTTGAATTGGTAATGATATGATCAATTATACTTTTGCTTGATAAAGTAATTCTAGTGGCTTCAGTAATGATCTGTTGTAGATCAAAAATTTTCAAAATGCTAGTGTAGGATTTAAAAATTGAACTATACTTTTGGTAAAAACAAATGTTAAAATCTCCAAGAATGTAACATTCACAATCTGATCTAAGACTATATAAAACATTTTCAAAATTTTCAATAAAATTTGATTGTTTTGGAGGTCTATATATTGTACCTACAAGTATTGGTTTGGTTTTTGGTAAAAGAATTTCAATAAAAATAATTTCATCATTAAAAACATTTAGGTCAGGTCTAGCAGTAAAAGCAATATCATTCCTCACATAGCAACACACTCCTCCTCCATGCCTGTCTCTATCATATCTTATAACTGTATAATTGTAAATATTCAGTTCTGAGTCTGTAACAGACTTGTCAAGCCAAGTTTCAGATATACCAATAACAGCTGTTTTAGTTTTGAATGCAATTATTTTAAGTTCAGAAATTTTAGGCAAAAGAGATCTAACATTGAGGGGTAAAAATTTAGTCCTTTTTTTGAAGCGCTGGTAGTGATCATCTGGTGTAGTTGATGGTACAGTAGTTGAAGTAGTTGGTAGTGAAGTGCTGTCAAGTAAAGATTATGCATCATGGCCCCGGAAATCTGTAAAATCTGATGATGAACTGTTGTCTTTAAAAAAGTCTTGATAATCACAAAAAGGCAGTTCATTAAGTAAACATAATCTGCAAATATATGGAACATGAGTAAAGTTGTGTTGTAAAATTGAACGGTGTACACTAGAATTATCACAATCAGCACATTTCATGTGAGTTTTTGTATAGCACATAGCACATATCACATATTTGCTTGTAGCAATAACACCTTTGCTGCATACAGAACATGGAAATTTAGGATTTCTTGATTTCTTGACTGGCATTGAATTTGTACTGAATACTGGTGGCCCTGGATTTGGATTTATATTTCAACTTCTAAGTAAAAAGCACACATTTATAGTTCTTGTATTTGGCCGTAGAAAATATTTATCTAGTACTTTTATGCGTTTTTATTCGGTTACGAAATGACTCGATGATAAAATAACGTATGGGGCGAAAGGTACGAAATAATTGAAGTCAAAATAATTTCTTCTGATGTCTCTTCTTGTATACCAGTAATAATGGGCATACTTCCTGTGTTACAATTGAATGATTGGCACTGTTGATTCAAATAAATGTATTGGTTAAAAGCGTGTAAAATCAAAATAAAAACTGTTGTTGACAAACTTCCAAAAACCGCCATTTTTACGTGCCGTACCGTACCGTAAATGATGTGACGTCATGATGTGGTGACGTCACAAAGGAGAATGCGAGACGTTACGCGGCAAAATCATTAAAATCACTTAAAAAGCATGAAATAAAAAGAAAATTTATTTGTTTTACATATAAGATTGAAATATATTTCATTCGTGAACACCAGCTATTATATTTTCACTCGTGGCTACGCCACTCGTGAAAATATTGCAGCTGGTGTTCACTCAGTGAAATTATATTTCTATCTTACATGCAAAACAAACAAATATCCTCTATATAATTATAAGGTTGTACTTTTGTGATTTTTTTTTAAATTTCTTAGCCTATTCATATAATAAAACAATTATTGACTAGTGAACCATTGAATATGATGTGATATTCACCGGCATAAAGTCATATTGACCTCGGCGATATGTCATCTGCCGTTGAATATCACATCATATTCAATGGCCCACTAGTCAATAATTGTATAATGTCTCAGATAAAAATATATATAATTTATATGTTACATGACGGATTTAGAACGGATGGTAAATATTTAAGCGTTCTCCTTTAATAAACAATTGATAATGTTTGCGTTTGTTGTTGTTATACACTGTTTAATGAAACGGCTTAGAAATTTAAAAGGTTCCATTATCACCGCCATACGAATACAGTAGAGTGAAATTCTAAAAAAAGACGTCACTGTTATCATGATAAAATGTTTTATTACATGCTTTTCGGTGGTTTATTGAAATATATCAGTAATATAAAAACTGGTAATTTCACTGTTTGAAACAGTGAAATTACCACTTTGATAATATCACTGTTTTTGAATTTAAGCCCCTTACGTTGTTTCAGTGAAATACCAGCGTGCACAGAACTGGGTACCAACTTAATGACGTGACGTCGTAAATGACGTCACGTTGTATTATTATTTGGCGCGCTTTTCATTCAGTATTAGGTTTAATGTCTTTTTAAAACGTTTCTTTGCATATAATAAAAAGAAAATTTGTTTAGTTTAGTGTAAGATAGAAATATATTTCACCTTGTGAACACCAAAAGTTCATATTTCACTCGTGGCTGCGCCACTCGTGAAATATACCTTTTGATGCTCACTCGGTGAAATATATTCCGATCTTACACTGAACTAAACAAATATCCTCTATATACTTTGCTAATTACGGTACAATGTGGCGTGGACAGTAGATTACATTTACCACTACCGTCTTCTTACAAGCTCAACTTCAACTGCAGTGTATTCGCTCGAAATGCTGATGTTCCTTTTGATTTAATATATAAAATGTCTCTTACAATCAGTGCCTTGTGCGAGAACGCATTGTCGTGAAGAATTGAAACATATTTTATTCCGTGTTTTAGACTTTTAAAGTACTTTTCTATGACACTAAAACCACATATTTATATTTTCATACTCTATTCCCTATTTGAAAAGGAATTTGAATTGCTGGGCCATGCCATTATTTGGAAAGAAAACTTCTACACAGTGGTCATTTGATTATGATAACTGGTCTCTTTGCAAGTTTTGTCGTCACCATGTTAAAACATCATTATCTATTTACGGTTCACGAAACAATTGAAACAGTTTCAGTTTCCGAGCTATGTAAGAGATATTGTTAAGTTGTCCTTTTCAGACTTATTATTTTGAACAAAGCACACGTATATTCAGTGAAATTTTAAATGTCAAAAATCACTTGCCTGGTAAATAATGATGTACAAACATGATTTATTTAGATATTCCTTGCACAAATATTTGTTCATCGTCACTTAACTGAAGCTCAATTACAATCAACTTATATTTGCTTACTAGCATTTATGCTTTTCTGTTATTGTTACATTGATTGATTGATAAAATGATTTTGTTACTAAGACATTAAGCTGTAAATGATGATGTACTATGTACAAATCAAAGATGTCTTTATATTATTAGTAAGAAAGGTTTTTGTTTAGAACTGCAACAATTAACAGTGATTAGGTATCTATAGAATAATATACAGTTTGTTTAAGATTTACCTTTTCACAACTTGAAACAAAAATTGTAGCTTATATCACAACATTCACGACAACAATTAAAACTTGTTGTGTCATTTGGTTATGATTATTTTTTTATCCGTTTCAGTTGAATGGATAAGCCAACACGTATTCTCGTGTGCGGAGGCGGAAATGGCGCACACACATTGGCGGCAACCGCCGCGTGCATCGACAACCTTGAAGTTAATGTCATGACACTGTTTTCAGATGAAGCTAAACGATGGTCTGATAAACTTGGCGATGACAAAATCGTCATTGACGTCACATACAATGATGGAAAACAAGGTGAACTTCAAGGAAAGCCAAGGCTAATTACCAATGACCCAGCTAAAGCGATGGAAGGAGTCGATGCAGTCTTTTTTGTTGTGCCTGCCTTTGCTCACCAACAATACTTCGACGCCATATCTAAATACGTGCAGCCTAATACTATCATCATAGGTATGCCCGGACAAGCTGGCTTTGAATTTCAAGCGTTAAAAAGTTTAAAGAATGCAAATGCAATTTCAAATAGTGCAGTAATTAGTATGGAATCGTTGCCATGGGCTTGTAGAATTTTAGATTTTGCAAAGAAAGTACAAATTCTAGGATTTAAGGATGTTCTCGGAGTTTCTCTAATTCCAGGTCACGGTCAGTACAAGTTGCCTCCCCTTGAGTTTGCGCAAAGGGTCATGGGACAAAAACCTCAGCTGAAGCCAACGCAAAATTACCTTGCTGTAAATTTGATGGCAAAGTCTATCATTCATCCACCGGTTATCTATGGTAAATGGAGAAATTGGGACGGGAAACCCGTACCAGAAGCGCCTCTTTTCTATCAGGGAGTTGATGATGAGCAGGCGGATTTTCTTTCTAAAGTTAGCGATGAGGTAGTAGCTACAGCAAAAGAAATTCAAAATCAGAGGAAAGAACTAGATATGTCAGAAGTTATCCATATTTACGACTGGTATAAACTATACTATTGCGATCAAGTGTCGGACAATAGCTCGCTTAAATCATGCATGCTAACTAACAAAGCTTACAATGGATTGCTTCATCCAATGAAAAAGGTTGACGGTGGATTTGTACCAGATTTTAGCTATAGATACATTGCTGAAGATATACCGTTTGGTTTAGTGGTGATGAAAGGTATCGCTGAATGTGCTGGTGTTAAAACTCCGACTATCGATACGGTTATAGCATGGGGACAAGAAAAGCTTGGTAAAGAATACGTTGTAGGTTCAAAGCTGACGGGCAAGGATGTGGTTAGCACAAGAGCTCCACAAGCATACGGCTTTAAAACATTAAAGGAACTTTGTGATATGTTATAGGACTTTTAAAAATAATTACAAGTTTTTTTAATTCTTTTTGAATTTTGCAGCACCCATTTAGTCGTAGTGAATTTGGTTAATTATAACTTAATATACGAATTTACAGGGGTTGGGGGAACAGATAAAAAACAACTTAAAACATTAGAAAATGTGTGCACGCTTTTCCGAGTTTTTCATTTTCATTTTGTTCAGATGGTTTTGATATGAATTTTATACAACTAGGCGGTATATAGTTATTATGTGGTAATTTGTGTATTTAAATTATAATTATACTATTTTATGTATGTTGAAATGTGATTAAGCTTGTTTTTACAACTAACGTCTTTTAACAGGACCAATCAAACCTAGCATGGAATATTGTATATTCTGCTGTTTTGTTTTCCACTTTTTAACTATATTGAATTAAGCTGGCCCGATACAGCTTCATGGCAAGGTCATGTAATGTTCTTATATTATATGCACTGGTCTTCAATTATTAAACCACGGCCTTATAACAAGCTAAGTGTGTTAGATCATAAACACAATGTTGTCTTATTAAAATGCAAAACAAAGGTTCAGTTGTCAAACGTGTACGCATCCGCCCAAAAACAACCCGTGTTTTACATCATTCAGGTCATGTAATTCTGACTGTAAATTATCTTTTATTATGACAAAATGGTTCCTTCAAACCATTTCATAGAGTGAAATATTTTTCTTCCTCTAGAATCTGTTTGCGCTTATTTATAGAAATAAATTCCACAGCTATGTGTTTACATTGCAGTAAAGTAAATAAAGTGTCCTTGTTTTCGAATGTATTGTTGTATAAATAAGCAACTATTTCTTTGAAAGGTTTTATCAGCATAAGTTGTAGGAACTCATGAAACCCAGACGACATTTATTCTAAACGACATTTAAGCCAGACGACATTTATTCTAAACGACATTTAAGCCAGACGACATTTATTCTAAACGACATTTAAGCCAGACGACATTTATTCTAAACGACATTTAAGCCAGACGACATTTCTGCGTCAAAAAATCGTTAACATTAATGGAAGTGTCGTTATCGTTAGTTTCATTCCATCAGCAGTCATGTTGTGTAATTAACTAGATTTATTTCGTCAAATTACATCTTTGATATCACTTGGAACGAAAAGTTTTGTCCCAGATATCATTAATGTCTCATTCACATATATCTCAACTTCAGGACCGTCTTTAAAATAATGAACAAAATTATTAACTGACATCGTTGGTTAATATGTCCAATAAAATAAAATATATTGCATAACACCAGGTTTGAGCATAACACTGTAATTATTATTTTATTAAACGTGCTCAGTAAAATTAGTAATGGTGTATAAAACATGTATTCTATTAATCACATTCCCCGAAATAAGAACAATTCACAGTAAAAGTAGTTTTTTATTGCGTAACAGTAACATTTAGCTCGCAATGCTTCTATAACGCATACGACGTCACGTCAAAATATATGTGCAAGGCCGTGCCATATCGGAGTCGGAAAGGACAAATCACAATTATATGATGTCATCCAATAATTACACTTTCGTTAAATGAAGAGACAGAATGTAGGTAGATGTAATTAACGATTTTCTAGAAAACTATCGCAATAACCAGAAATTAACTGACACATGACACTAAATACTGTAATTTATAGATGAAATACGTAATCTTCCAAGCTAATACCAGACTGTTTAAGGCAGAACAGAAATCATGTTATTTAGACTTTATTGGCTATTTATTCCTGTCATTATTCTGCACGGAAATTGCTATGTTTCGGTGCCGTTAAAGAAAACTGCTGCTTCTTAAAGAAAGAAAATTAACTTGATACAATCCAGATATATATTAAAGAAATAAAGCATCAAATTAAAAAAGAAACATTGTATCTTTGATAGCATTTTAACTAAAAATTAAAATCAGGCATTAGACTTTGACAACGTGAATTAAATGGCCTGATAGTTTTTTATGACTTAACTTCACACAATTGATACCATACATAGCTTTTTTATCAAAACGCTGTAATAAAAGTTCGCAGTAAAAGTACAATAACAATGTGAACTGTTGTTATGTGCGCGTTTTATTTTCCTCTGACGTAATTCTAATTTCACTTGCAGTAGCTTATGGAATCACGTTAATGGATGGGGACAGAATTTACTAGCATTTTCAGTAAGACAATCAATTAATGTAATTAGAGAGAATGGACTAAATCAATATAAGTAGATGACCAGAAAAACATGAATGTCAACGGTGAGTTTTTACAGCAGGACAGGAAAATACACGTCTGTAGAATAACATTTATTTCAGATCAAGCGTCATGTTAAATGACATAAATCCCAATACAAATGAGATGAATTATAAAGATGATAAAAAAACATGATTCGTATAAGCAATAACAATGACCTAAAAACAATTTAATATATTAACCATAAATATTGCATTGTTGTTTGTTTGTTTCATTTTACGCCTTTTTCCAACAGTATTTCAGTCATATAGGCGGGTAGTTTCCTAACCATCGTTCCTGGAGAGTTGCACCAGTACTAGACTAATATTGCATTGCAAGACTTAACTATCTATCTCTGCAAATGTGGGGTTTTCCATGCTAATCCCTCCGGTACAAACAAACTTTTACCGTATAGCTTCACGGTGCACCATCGGTCACAATTGATAAGTCAACCTGTCGCGCATAATCTTTAAAGTTGGTCTGTACCCCCCGGATAAGCTGGGAAAAACTGAATGTTCTTAATTCCGCAGTAAGTCTACCATATAGCATGGTTCAAAATCTAAATAGGTTTGGGCTCAGATTTTCACCTTGACTTCAACCAATTTTTAGAGCAAAATAATGACTAGGTAAGTTTCTGCATACCTTTAGAAGAGCCGAATAAAATGCTACCTACATGGAAGATCTGTACAGTTGTAAATATCAAGAATTTCATTCAATATTTAAGAGGCAGGGGATGCTCCTTTATAGTAAGAAGGCTCATATGGACTATCTCTCTTCCCAAACAGTTGGGTATTTTCCTTATGACAAAATGATATTAAACATTTTTGTATACAATGCATGAGTTCCTGATAACGTGACTTCATTTCAAAACATCCTTTATACATGAATGTGTTTACGGTATCGACCGGATTCTCCAACTCTCGGGTAAACTGCGCAAAGTTTCGTTACCGCTGTAAAAATTAAACTGTTATCCTCGAGCTAGATATTCCGGTCTGTAAGATCCTAATATTATGAACCAAGTTGACAGATACCTTACGTTTATAAACAACTCTAAACCATTATACTGAAAACAGGCGTGTTAGCAAATGTTTGTCCGTATTAAGTATAATAAGAATTGAAGAAATACAAAGATCTAATAATTTTCTTCCTCAAACATTGCAATCAGTATCATAAATATGACAATATACTTTATTTTGACAAACATAATGAGGGACATTTACATTTCATTAACATTTCATTTCATTTCATTTATTGGCAAATCGGCAAAATAAATGCCTTTGACCATTTACACATACTAATACACATGGTCAAGACATACAGTATACATAAAAGATACACAAATAACTACACATATAATCTTTACATAATAAATAATCACCAAATATCAAAAATTAACAAATTTTAACTCACAAAGGTAATAAGTCCTACGAAGCAGCATTGTTTTTAAGGGTTAGACTTCTCAATTTATAATCTTCTGTTAAAAACTTTTTTTTTACAATACTAGTTCTACGTTTTGATGACATAATATTAATGAACTTTTGTACTGAAGGCCAAGCATTATTTGTAAAATATTTCTGTCGTAGGTCATAATATTTATTACAACATAGTAAACAAGAGCTGTCAGAAGGACAGCGCGCTCGACTTTTTTTAGTGCTTGCCTATAAAACAAAACTTTGACAGTTAAGGGCACACAAGACTTTAACTAGGAATTTCTAAGTACAAATCAAGAAACATTTTCACAGAGTTATCTTCTCTTGCTTACAGATAGGTCTCATGATGGCACATAAGAACTCCAACTTCCAAAGTAATATCTCAAATGGTTAGGTCAACAAGTGGACAAGAATGAAAATTTTAACTGAGTTTCTAAGTCAAAAAGGGCCATAATTCAAATAAAATCCTTAACAGAATTACCTTCTCCTGCCCATGTTTGGGACCATGATGGTAAACAAGTATTCCAACTTTCAATTTAATATCTCAACCAGTTCAGTCAAAAAGTTGACTGGTACAAAAAACTTAACCAAGATTCTAAGTCGATAAAAGGCCTTAATTTTTAAAACAAATCCCTGACAGAGTTACCTTCTCTTGCGTACAGATGGGGGTAATGATGTGAAATAGCATTAAAAGTTTCAAAGCAATATCTCAAAGGGTTAAGGCAATAAGTGGATTTTACCCATATTCAATGTATTTTCTAAGTCAAAAAGGGGCATAATTCTGTCAAAAACCTTGACAGAGTTATGTCCTCTTGTCTGTTGATGAAGGTCGTGATGGTAAACAAGTATGGTCAGTTTCAAAGCAATACCTCCAATGGTTTTGAAATAAAGTGAGGTGGTACAAAAAACTTAACCAAGCTCAATACACTTTCTAAGTCAAAAAAGGGCCATAATTCTGTCAAAAACCTTGACAGAGTTATGTACTCTTGTCTGTAGATGGAGGTTATGATGGTGAACAAGTATGGTAAGTTTCAAAGCCATACTTGTAATACTTCTGAAATAAAGTGGGGTGGTACGAAAAACTTAACCAAGGTGTGACGCCAACGCCGACGCTAACGCTAACGCCGACGCCGACGCCGACGCCGGGGCGAGTAGGATAGCTCCCCTTTTCATAGAAAAGTCGAGCTAAAAATGGTACTCAGATTCAACAGATTGTGATGAACAAAGTTTACATATCCTTTCGACGGCCATAGCGTAATAAAACGTACCGAAAAATCGACTTCTCAAAAGCCGGGCGCTACAGTCATAAGAAGGCTATAACGTAATAAACCAGTATAAAATTTTAGCTTCCTGAAAGCCACTACTGTTTGTCGTAGGAAGGCCACCAAAATTTAGTTTTAAATGACTAAATTCTTGAAGTTTACCTTTCATTTATTTCATTCTGTTAAATGTTGTTCAAATAAAAACACAAAATATGTTAATTGTATAGTGCCCTTTATTGACAGATATAGTAAATGTTTAGATATACAGTACACTTTTTAATTAATGTGGTAATCAAATCGATATCCAAATTAATTGAAGAAAATCTTCTAAATGGTATAGTATTTTAAAATGCATTTATTGATACATCAAACGGAGTTTCTGTAAGCAGTTCTGTTATTTGAAACAAAAATGAGTTGAACTTACAAAATTCACGTATAGTATCAATCACCCTTCCTGAGAAAAATTGATTTTCATTGATTTTCAATAATAACGTTTTAAAACGTTGTGGACATTTTACTCAACATGGTATTCTAATGGGCTATATAGGTAAATAACGTAAAATGTACCGTTTTAAAACGTTCAGAACTTGTTTTAAAAAACAAGGATTGTGAGTATGTTTATTGCAGTTGAACGTAATATTAACAGTGTTATACGGTATGGCTTTGTTGTTTATCGTATGCTGTTGAACAGCCATAGCGTAATATTTCGATTTTCATAAACACATTAAAAAAACCCAGAATGTACGAAAACGAGGTTTTTACGGGGTTGCATGACACAAAATTCAAGTTTAACGCTGATTTACGCTACGGTTTCTAGAAAGGTATATTTTTGATACGTTTAACTACGCTATGGACGTCTGTCGAAATATAAGACTGGCTTT